CATTTTACCTATTATGAGCTGCATTTCACCAGTTATGAGCTGCATTTTACCTATTATGAGCTGCATTTCACCTGTTATGAGCTGCATTTTACCTATTATGAGCTGCATTTCACCTGTTATGAGCTGCATTTTACCAGTTATGAGCTGCATTTCACCTGTTATGAGCTGCATTTCACCTGTTATGAGCTGCATTTTACCTATTATGAGCTGCATTTCACCAGTTATGAGCTGCATTTTACCTGTTATGAGCTGCATTTCACCTGTTATGAGCTGCATTTTACCTGTTATGAGCTGCATTACACAACCACGTATTCATGCTGTATTCTTAGGATTTACATTGGTTAGGCAATACATATATGAATACATGTATATATTTGAGATGTGAGACGCGTGTTTTACTCAAGATAACCACCTCCTTGGTCCAGTGGATAGACCGTCAGCCGTCAGCCCGGAGAGCGGAAGGTTCGATTTAGGCTGTACAAAAAGCCTGCCTGGTGGTATTAAAATGATAAAACATAGGACGGCTGTCTGTCTGAGGGACGGGTCCAAATTTTCTACTCGGGCACCCCACCCCCTATTACCCTACCCTACTCTGATACCCGTTATGTTAATTCCTGACATCAAATCTGTAAGAAATGGCAATATATTCTTCAGCTCGGAGGCTGAAATATCCAGTTTTTCAATATCTTAGCCATCCATATATTATATTCAAAACAAGTGACTGTAAATTATGTCTAAATCTTCAAAGACAATACAGCCTTTTAATCATGAAAGAATAACATATTACATTGTTTAATCTCGAGTCACATCTCGAGCGCATCCCCATTTCATCTTCCCCTTAATAATTACATTGCTGATGCATTCATCATATCACACTCCCTTAGATCCATGCTCATGATATCAATCACTAGGTTGCCTGATCCAGACGCTATTATGTACAGACCGCCGTAATATAGCTGGACTATCTGTGGGGCGTTCAACAACAAACAAAACAAACACATAACAATATCTTCGGTGTGTTCCTATTTGTATAGCTGTCACTCGAAGGAGAACACAGATCAATCAACACAAAGAGCCAAAATGAATATACTGTTCCTAAACTCACAAATGATTTTAAACCAATGGTTGTGCATACGCTGCACTTCGGGTACCATGCACAGAGATTGAAGGTCAGGGTCACAGTAAGATGACATCCGTCGTGTCTGGATTTCCTCAAACAATGGACATGGATTTTACATGCACAATCATACAAGTGATAAGATTCGTTCTTATTCCTACAAACCTGGGCCAAGATTTTCGAATCTCTCTTGATAGTCGTAAGCTAATTATAATGTATGGCACGACAATCTTAGCTCTAAGAGAGCTTCGAAAATCTAGGCCCAGTATTATACGTCACGGTGGTAAACTGTGAATGACAATAATTCATTCACGTATAAGATACTTCCATTCATAATCATTCATGTTGTGTTTAAATGCCATACATAATGTTTTATCTTGTAGTCAGTGTGCTTAGAGCTCGTCAAGTGCAGCGTTCTGCCAGAGATACTCTACATGAATTGACAATAGTATTGCCTGTGTTATAAACTATGCATGAACGAAGTTTTTTTAAAACTACTCCAATTTCATTGACTGAAAATATGAATAGCTTGAAAATGATACCTGTTACAATCAGGCATCCATTAGCTTGTGAAGAGTCGTCACATTATAAGTGTTGCGAGGTTCAGTGGAGCTAGAGTATGATTATTTATGCATGTGACTGCTATATAAATGATTCCTGGTATGTTTAGAAGAAACGATGCAAGACACACACACGCACAGGCACACGCACACACGTGCACGCATGTACACATACACACGCACACATTATTATTCACTCGCACAACCGGCATGTTTCCATTTTGCCTACATCCCAGTTTGCCTTCACTCTTATCAAAATAAGTTTACACTCCAGTGGCTATGCTTCATACAAGGTTTTACATGGAACTACCTTCTACATACAATGGACCAATCCAAGCCAGTTCTAATGTCCTTTTCAATTACTATCATTTATGATAATACTATCTCAGGTAATCGGATTCAGGAACTTGATGAAGCTTTATCAAAAGGAATGTCACATATGCCCTTCACTTTTACTGTAGGCAAATTAGGATGTAGGCAAAATGGGACCAAACAGCACAACCCCCACCCCAACTCCCCTCCACAACCCCCACCCCAACTCTCCGTTAATCCCATCCTCTCATCGTGACATAATTCACATGAACTTCTTCACGCCCACTCCCCTTCACCGCTTGCCTCTATTGATCTGATTTTTGGACTGACATCGATGCTATGCATATTGTATGTGCGTGATTCGACTGTATTCTTCCGCACGACTGTTCACATCAAACATTCATGGAGTCCTTGTTTTTGTACATTTGTCTTCGTGTCAGATCATGCGATGATATTCAACATAAAACCGTCCTTGCTGCAGAGGCAAACGTTACCTTCAGCCAGGGCCCAAAAATGTCAGATGGTTATTCAGGTAAAGGTAAAATCTAAGCAAATTCCATTAACACCTGACACAGTAAATCCCTTACATTAACTGTCTGTCAAAATAAACTGGACTCCAATGTTGGCTAAAACGAAACAAACACAGAAACGTTGATGACGTATTTGACACAGGTAGCGTAGCTGTGCATTAGACGTTAACGTTGCCTGGTTATGGCGATTGTTAGCAGCCAAGTAGTGTTTTGAAAACATTTGTAAATATCCAGCCAATTCTATTAAGCATATACATTCTTATACCCAACCGTTTCTTCAAAGGTGAATTCAGCTTTGTGGAACATTCCAGACTGGTATTAACAAGTGTATTGATGTGCATGGTTACAGGATGTGGTCAATTGGCATGATGACGTTGTCACAGAGACAATGCCACAATGGTAATAAAGGAACAATTGTATTCTGTAACACAAACAGTCTATGCGTGAGTTTGTGAGTATGATTTTACGCCGCGCTTGGCAATATTCCAGCAATATCACGGCGGGGGACACCAGAAATGGGCTTTACACATTGTACCCATGCGGGGAATCGAACCCGGGTCTTCAGCTTGACGAGCGGACGCTTTAACCACTAGGCTACCCCACCGCTCCATAAAAGCTCATGAATAGCACTGTACACAAACCTGAATGAACTGATAACCGGCTATTGAATTATTGATTCAAGATAAGTGACATTAAGAGATATTAAGAGAACTTTAAAAAGTAACACGACGCCATTCTATTCGTTGTTATTATTGCAATATCATAGAACTGTTTACATGTGACCTTTTCAAAAATTAAAATCGCAGCTGGCCTATATTGAAAGGTCAGAATTGATGACATTATTTGATATTGTGAAAAATGAATTTTTGATTACGTTTAGCGTACAAGTGTATATTCTAATTGGTTTAACAATACATATGGAACTCATTTAATGAAAAATACATTATGCATGGTGATGTAACCTGCGCTTGGTGATCTGTTCAGAACGACTGTTACTATACGAATTGAATTGCCCTCATATCCAATATTCCCTCTATTAAGGCGGAGTAGTAAGCTATGTTCCTATAACAAATACCATATGTGGAGATCTCGGGTTAAATGTGTCCCCCAGCCCTTGTACCCATATGACGTGGGGGTTGTTCACAATACTAATCACTGGGTTGTCTGGTCTAGATTTGATCACTTACATATTGTCACATGGCTGGTATATCAATGGGTGGGGCGTTATGTGATATAAACAAAACCTGAATATTATACAGCATACAAAATTATAATAAAGTAATGGGTAATAACATTATGTAGGGGGTAGCCTAACGGCTAAAGCGTTCGCTTGTCACGACGGAAACTCGGGGTCGATTCCCCACATGGGTACAATGTGTGAAAAGATGCATCACATTTTGCATCTTTGCAAGTCGAAAACACGTACAGGAACACTTAAGAAACAGTTTTATAGAGAAACGGTAATTTCGTTGAAAGGAAGAAATTAAAGTAATCTTATGTAGACCTTTGGAAAAGGCGTTTCTACATCTTGACATTCAGTTAGCTTAACATCTTTCGGTTAATAACCAGATTGGAAATATATATTGCTTTCCGTTTTCATAACGTTTTACAGTTCTCGAACCCTAAATAAACCCGTCCAGAACCTTTTACTTTGCACGGAAAACGGAAGCCTCAGAAGAAAGTGTTCTCAATGTTCGCGGGAGTATTTTCGTCAGTGATATACATTATTAAACTCGACTGTCTACGTCAAGGAGGGGCTTCTCACATATCCTCATAAAGGGATCATGAGCTATTTATATATACCTCATAGTGATACAAGGTATCATCATTCTGAAATATTTTAAATGATAAAAAAAAATATTATGCGACGTTTCCAAATGTTTGAAGAATTTGAAGGTCAGGAGATTTGTCCTTTTCAGTTGATGGGTGTATTGCTGTTTATTGGTATTTCTTGAAATAGTAACATTGATACTTCGAATCGGCTAGTGAGTCCGACAGTATGGCCTTTGACAGTTTGAGCGCTAGTTCATGTCTGTTCTTCGAAGGGAACCAGACAGGTCCATTAATATGAAATGAAATCCAATTACGCCATGTTAATGCACATCCACGACAAGAAGACAAATTGTCATTAAGATCCATTGTGATGGCTATGGGGGATCAGTACATTGCATATGTACGATGCTATGAAATCAACATGAAATTGACATTATTAGTATTACGTAAATCTACAAGGAACGATTGAGATTGACATGCATGTCAGTATCTGCTCTTCAGCCATGTTGTAGTATTTGCTCTGTGGAACGATACAACAAATGTTATTTTCACCTCATATGCATCAGTCAAAACCAATAACAACCTTATACAAGAAATAATTCATGCTTGAATACGCGGGGTCCAAAATAGACCGTTCACCAAGAATAGCTGTCATAATGTTACGGGATATTGATCTCAAGAAAATACCCATGTACATAGGGAACTGACCTTGTGTATAGCCTCCTCGTCGTACGGTTCTGGTTGAATACTCTGAAGTTCATCCCCGGGTAGAGAGTTAGGTCTCCCGTTTTGAGCAATCCTGAGGGACCCAGTGTCGTAAGCAGCCATAATCGATTTGTTTCACACACACACAAGCTCCTATCCTTTGTGTTTAGGAAAGAAACATTATTATCACACTTATTGATTGAAAATAATCCAAAACCCTTCTCCGGAATGCCAGTTCCAATAATCCCGGAAAACAAGGAGCGTTTATTCCAGATGAGAATCTACTCCACGGAAGCGATGGACTTGCTCATAACCCTACAATCCTCTTGTGAATTACTGTTACAAAACCTGCTGACTGTCTTCTTGAAGTGAGAGCTGTGTTAAAATGCACCTACTAGCATCCAATTCAAACCTCGTCTCAGAAACGTCCTCGCGAGATTCTCGTTTGACTTTGGTTTGCAGGAACCATAACTCGGGTAATCGAGTTAGCTCCGTCTACAGTGTTGAATTTATGAAAGGGAGTTAACTGCGGAGGAGCGGATAAAATTATCAAATGTTATCGATTGGTATTGTCGGCTCGCAAGAGATGGCGGCGCAGAGATCATTAACTGGCGTACCTTCAGAAATAGTAAAGCGTATGGTTCAGAAAACTGTAGGCGTGAAGCAGTGATAGGGACCTCATTTTACCACATGTCTGAGATAGGTTGTACCATTTTCAGTGCCTTTATTCTAGCGGGACATATTCTCTGTTAATCATCAAAGGGAGACAACCAGGAATGGTTCTCTGTCATCTGCAAGGCGATCAATGACTTTCGATTTAGTCTCTGCGATATGATTAGCATGTTGTAATGTCATCAACTACACTCGATGTTGCTTTTATTTACTCCTTTTCTGTTTCTATGGATACGTGCAGGACCAAATGCCCGGCTCAGGACACTATGACGTCACTGGGTATAGTCTCGGAAGCTCTCGTGACCCCAAAGTAGTTTCGTCTGTGATCACGAAACGGACCTGTCAGTCTTTGACTGAGTAGCTTATTTCACTCAGAGGAATATCTCGATGATTGTAATTGCAAGCAGAAGAGTGCCACACCACTGTCATTCATAGATACCTGCTTAATCAAATTTCAGGTGTTAGAAAGTAAACGGATAACGGCTTCTGTTAAATATATAATCAAGATAGACCGGGCTGCATGAATTATCAAACAGATAAATTGTTCAGAGACTGTGGGCCCTCAGCAGCTTTTGAGCAAATAGCAGCTTGTCAATCTTCATCAGATGAAGGATTAATTATTAATGAACGCAGGTATTCCAGTCTTGTGGACTGACATCCTTGTGTAACAAAGTCATGGTATATATGTGCGGTGCATACATGAGTGTATCCTGGTGTACCCAGTATCTTGTGCCATGTTTTTATTATATCAGTGTTCTCATGTATGCAGTACACCATAACCACAAATATTTATAGGCAAACAGCGACTTTGTTTCAGCATCAAAACATCAATGTCAGACAATGCTCAAAATGTCTTCATCATATTGCACCATCGTATCTCCAGGAACTAGTAGAAATTTATACTCCAAGCAGACCCCTTCGCTCAGAAAATAAAAACCTGTTAATTGTCCCCAAAGTAAGAACATGGCAAAATGATTTTTACTTATGCAGCATCAATCCTATGGAAAAACCTTCGACAAAACCTGAGAGACTGTACAGACTTGACTCTTTTTAAGTCACAACTTAAGACCTATCTCTTCTCTAAAGCCCTTTCTCACTGTGCGTCGTGAGCACGCAATCAGCCATGGATATATGCGCATTACAAGTGTTCTACAAATGTACTACAAATCTCGGTCATCTGTTTAAACCAATTCCAATGGGTGTAAAAACAGAACAGTGATCTAAATTATATCTATGGATCAGTGGCGTCAGTGGGTGTTCGGGAAAAGAGTAACCATTTCTACCTCTTGCACCCACTACCAGGACCTTCTTTCAAAAAAGGGTCAGTGGGGTACCTCAGAGGTTAGAGCGTTGGCTCGTCACGTCGAAGGCCCGGGTTCAAATCCCCACATGGGTATAATGTGTGAAGCCCATTTCCCGTGTCCCCCGCCGTGATATTGCTGGAATATTTCTAAAAGCGGAGTAAAAACCAACTCACTCACTCTTTCAAAAAAGTACTCATTTGCTTGTTGCCTAAGCCTCACCAATATTCCCACCATACAATGGAAACAGCCAACTCTGGACCCAAAATCATGTGATTGTTATGTGTACGCAGCTATACATGTATAATGCACGGGGTAAGACACCAGGTGTCAAGCATGTCAATAAACATTAACACCGATCCATTACAGAAAGTGCCAGTGAGTTTGTTCCACAAAGGCATTATCCATGAATCCCTGATCGACCACAACTTTGCTATAGTGTTTGTTGTGCTAAAATCACTATATACAAAGCTCGAACAACATTTTTAAACAAAATTATTAAAAGAGATCACACTTCCACACATGTTAATAACTCCATATTACCGAAATAACATGAAAAGCGGCGTCAAAATACACTCACTCACTGACAGGCATCTAATGTGTTCTATTACTGAATGTTGTGTTAGCATTGGAGATATTCTCAGGAATGAAATTTAGTATTACAAATACGGCAGATAATTCAGGGTTCGAAATTAACGCTTTGGGGTAGCAACTATGCTATTCAAAATCCTATTTTGCTACGTGAAAACACACACAGTAGCAACAACTTGCTTCCTGGTATTTTTGGGTGAAACCGCTTTCGTTCATCAATTAGTGGTCATTTTCAAAGGATAGATCTCCGCTTGTGCACTTTCACTCATAAACTTACCTATACTGGTTTTTTAATTTAAAAAAAATGCTCATCGGAGCTTTTGTTGGTCACTAACGCATGGGTCAAACATGCAGGCCCACAGACTTTAAGAGAATTTGATCCAAGACCAGTAGGTGGTGGTTGAGTGGAGAGAGGGCCAGGAGACCTAATACAGCTCCATATGGCTACAGACAGTCATGGGACTGGGAGGGAGGGAGGGAGGTATTAACAGCAGATCGCCTCCGTGGTGTAGTGGTTAGAGCGTCCGCCCGGAGAGCGGAAGGTCGCGGGTTCGATCCCCGACCGCGTCATACCAAAAGACGTTCAAATATGGTACTTGTTGGTTCCTGTCTGGCGCTCGGCATTAATGGGTACAACAAGGACTGGTCGGCTCGGAGTCAGTATAATGTGTCTGAGTGGGGTATTCATGCTTCACTGCGGCATGGTATCTCAGTGGGCTAGCACTATAAAACCAGCTTAAGTCTGGGCTATAAAATAGTACAAGCAGCCACATACACATACACGCACGCACGTCGTCATATGAGCGAAATATCCTCAAGCACGACGTAAACCCAATTTCACCTCACCTCACCTATTAACAGCAATACGAGAGAAAGCTGCTACCAGGTAAGGGATTTTGCTACCTATTTTAAACCAGGTAGCAAGTACTTGCTACTTGCTAAAAAAGTTAATTTCGAACACTGTAATTATAAGAGAATTTTCGGTTAATGGAATGTAGGTAATTATCCATCGCGATATCACACTGCACTGTGAGTGGCTATCCGTCTTGTACAATTAACGATCTCCCCCGAGATACGTTCAGTGGAGCTGTGGCCAGTCTTGACAAATGAGCTTCACCGGTAATATTCTCAGTTATTAATGCAGTAAAGGGTGTCTAGACTGGTTATAAGGAGAACTGACACTTCACTTAACCATCGAGTTGAACTCATGGGACGCTATAGCATACTATGGTAATGCTTTTTACATGCTGGTGATGCTGTTTACATGTTTTAAAAATTATTTTGGGGTCAAATATTTTAGGTGGTGGTACAAAAAGATGAGCCTTGTTTTTATGGCATATCTTACTGTATGATATCCTACTTTGATATGGGTGAGTGAGTTTGGTTTTAGCAATATTCCAGCAATATCACGGCGGGGGACACCAGAAATGAGCTTCACACAATGTTCCCATGTGGGGATTCGAACCCGGGTCTTCGGCGTGACGAGCGAACGCTTTAACCACTAGGCTACCCCACCGCCCCACTTTGATATGGGAAGGGTGATAGGCGATTATTGCATTTTCTGTTTGGGGGGTGGGGGTGCATATAAGATTGTGGCATTTCGATGTGATGAATGATGTGTACAGTCGAGCCCCGCCAATCGGGACCATAATAATAATAATAAGAGTACATTTATAGCGCCTCATCCACATCACTGAGGGACATGCTCTAAGCGCATACAAGTCACAGCTCATTAAGTATTATCCCGGATAACACAAACTGCCTGTGAGACGCTAGAAGGTTATAGTCACGTGACTTATCCCACCGGGTACCCGTAAACTACGTTAATAAGTAACTATTTTTGTGCCGGTCAGTTACTGTATAGTTTGGTTACAATGCGTTGTAATCAACTAAAACTAGTGGTTTCTTTGAGTTCGTTGTAAACGAAGTTTATTGTACAAAGAAATGAGTGACTGGGACAGAATTCCGGCCTCCGGCCTCCGGCCTCCGGAAAGTGAATTTCAGTTTCCAACAATGGAGAATGCACAGCACTGTGTCACCACTTACCGGACAGCAGCCCTACATAAGGATGTTTGTTTCAACTTCATCACTCCTCATGCAAAATCGCAGGCGCGGGTAACATGTGATCTCAGTGTTAATCTACTGATGCCATTACACGTACTGGTTATAGATAAATGTCCATCGTATATCTGCACTTCTTTTTGTAATCTACTTATATTTTATATATATAACTATTTTATTAAATATTTCATTGAATGAGTGAGTTTAGTTTCACTCCACAAGAACATTCCAGCAACATCACGGCGAGGACACCAGAAATGGGCTTCACACATTGTATCCATGTGGAGAATCGAACCCCGGTCTTGGGCGTGACGAGCGAACGCCTTAATCACTAGGCTACTCCATCGCCTCTGAAATGTCGTTGAATGTTGTAACATTTACATTGGTGTTGGCGAAATCATGAGTGATCGACAAAATAACCGTTATTTTCACAAACAACTATTATACTATCCTTATTAAAGAGTTGAAACATTTCGTTTGTAATAGATAAATGTATCAGATACAAAATTAGTTTCAGATACAATGTATTCCAGCCGTCGTGTCAAACGTCCATGTGTTACTAGTATATTGTTGACTATATTAACTGACTGACTGAGTTTGGTTTTACGCCGCTTTTAGCAATATTCCAGCAACATCACGGCGGGGGACACCAGAAATAGGCTTCACACATTGTACCCATGTGGGGATTCGAACCCGGGTCTTCGGCGTGACGATCCAACGCTTTAACCATTAGGCTACCCCACCGTCCCTGACTATATTAACTGAATACACCGGTAGATTGGGATAAAACGTGGGTCCACCTGACACATTATCCCGGCT